TTATTCTTATCTAAACCAGGTACTGATGCAACTATGAGAATTAGAAAGGAAATGAATGGGATTAATGAATGAATGAATGGATGGATTATTTATTTAAATGAAAGTATGAATGTGGGATTGATTGGTTAAAGAAATAGACAATATTCTCCTTCACAGTTATGTGCGCCATCTTGAAAGGTAGCCGTGCCTTTAGATTGAAGTGAGACAACCATTGAGCGTGCAATGATAGATACCTATAAATAATTGTCTGTAGGTGTGAAAGAAGGTTTCTATCATTGCACTCTCAACGTCCTTCTTGCTTCGATGCCACCTTTCAAGATGGCACAGGGAACCGTGAAGAAGACTATTACAACAGAAACCGTTGCATCGTATCTTCAATGTTTTAAAGAAATCATTAGGATTTAGGGTTTTCTGCGACTTTGGGGGCAGAGCTTTCTGCAAATAAGCCATTGATTGAACAATTTTACAACAAGCTCCAATCCTTAGATCAAAGGAAACAACAAATTCGAAAAAAACTTCAAAATGAAGAATTTACGATGCAACAATTTTCGCTGTGAAAGGGCCATGATGATCTGCTTCCCTTATAAGATTTTTTGTTTGAAAGTATCAATACATTTTYGTAATATAAGCAAAAACTTACTCTTTATTATACCCTTGTGCTCTATGAATGGAAATATCATAAGATTTAAACTTAAAAGCGATGGATGAAATATCTAAGACAAGACTGCAATGAATGCTAGTTCATCACAAGCCCTTGTTAATAAAATAGCCAAGAGGAAAACAGAGTAGAATCAAAAATTGCCCTATATTCAGAATTTAAGCTTATATTTTCTCGCATCTTGTAGAGCAAATGTTACACCATTGAGGGTATAGATGAGGGGTATGAGTTTCTTAGACTCAAGCAATCCATGGATATGGTTGGCTTTACTAATGACATACAAGAGAGGTAGGTGGACCTACACTGGAACTGATAGAAAGTGCAATTTACATGATATTTGTGTGAATTTTCACAGCCTGATTGACTGTTTAAGATTGAGCAGTTCATATTTAGCATTTATTAGGTGACAAAATTTCTTAACCAAAAACCAGGAAAAAACAATTGTTTTGGTGCTTTACTAGTATTGCAGACTTTCGCAAAGTCCATTTTTCGCTCTTCAGTGTCAGTATCTCCCCTACAACAGACAGACTTACCGTGAGACTCACCTCACAAGCTCTGTGCTTCGTCCGTCCATCGCGCTTTGTATCAATGTCCACCCATTCCAGGGAGTATAAAAGAGTCCAACTTGGGCAAGCTTGCCAGTATTGGTGTAATCTTGTTGTCATGAATTGTTCAAAACTTGGCAGTTGTGCACCAGGTTTCAAACATTTTATTATGATACCAAGAGAGGGAGAACTCAAATCATTGCATAGTTATATTAATAATATTGATTAATATATTAATAATTACAAATATTTCTTTCTAGAATTTTCCGCGCTCTTTCATCAGTTCTTCACATAGGAAATATTAATTTCACAAGGGTAAGAAATGTGTTAAACTAGTAAAACAATAAAAAAAGAAA